GTTTATTTGTTTATGACAAAGCAACTAAAGCTATCTGCCACTGGTCCCTAATTTTGAACTGCCAACAATAGGAAAGGGAGCTGGTAGGGCAGCACCCACCATCATTTCTGTAAAAACAGTGTAACTGATCATAATATGACAATGCCCCCAACATGGAAAGGGCATGACAGGTGCAGCATTGAGTTTTTATTCCATGACCCACAGGATGCAACTTAAGTACCTAACCATCAGGTCCTCTATTACATAAATTTAAATAATTAAATACAAATGGTTATAATGTTTCCATTAAAAACATCTGTAAATATTCTTAATTATTTATAATAAGGACTTTAGTTTAGATATTTTAAAACTTCTCAGTATTATCTTCCACATGTTCAAGTTACAAAACTTGTGATCAAAATGTAAGAAACATACAAATTTATATAATCAGTTATAAAACATGGTTCTTTAACACCTACGAAAATAATGATATTTCACGTCAGAGCTGTATATTCTTACATATTAATTTTAACTACTATTGAGCCCTTTAAAAACTTTACTTGACAGTATCCAGATAGATCTTTGGTGAAAAAGAATTAAACTTGAAACCCAAAATTAACATTTTCTTTTTTTGACAGGATTTAAGTTGTTAATCTATTGAGAGCTTTATAATCCAGAGGGAAGCAACAGTGGAAAAAGAATGAAATAGGAAATTTATGGTGATTTTTAAAGAACGTCTGGGCTTTTCAAAGTGTCTGATTTGTTTTCCTCATAGGTTTTACTTTGGAATAGAAGACACAATGATGGAGATTTTAAGTCCCAATATTTCACACCTTCAAACCCTGGAAATGTTTAACAAAAACCATCCTTAAAAATACTAAAATAAAATAAAACTTCAATTCAAAACAAATCAAGATACAGTTTTTTTTCTTATTCTACCAGTAAGCCTTTACAAGTGAAGCACTTATCAACTGGGCTTTGGTTTGTTTTGAATTTCATGAAAAGCTACAAGAGAGTTAACTGTGCTAGCCAGCCCTAATTTAGTAGTGAAAGACTAGAGGGAAGGCAGTCAGTCATCACCACCCACCACCAACTCTAGGCTACTCTTTTATCAACAAACAGTGGGATTGACTATCACATTACAACACACTCCACAGCTGAAATAACAAACATGTTTGATGGAACGGGGATTCAAATCAGCGACCCACAGATTGTGAGTCGAGCACCCTATCCACCTGGCCATGCCTGGCATTTATCAAACGAAGTGATGCTTCTCATACTAGTTATTCTCTGTAGTTCTAAAAGTTGTTTGCTGGACTTCAGTAGTCATCAAGAGCAACTGGTATGATGAAGTACTTACTTACTGAAGTATTTACTATACAAATGTGTATTTTAAGTCCAGTATAAAGATGAGTACAAGAAAATAAGTTATTTTACCCTACTTTTATTCATATTTTACATGAAGTTTTATTATCTAACACATTTTTTATTTCTCTTTATTTCTTCTCTCTCTCTTTTTTAACATTAGTATGGAGCAATTCTCAATTAATATAAAATAGAAATAATACCTACCAGTATGGAGTGCCAATGAAAGTATTTCTTCTACCTACTGTTCTGTCAAGTTGAGCACTGACTCCAAAATCAACTGGAAGAGAAGATATTAATTTCAGTTACTTTAAAAGTTCTAGACTGAATTAAAAAGAATACTTCAGTGATATTACTTTTCTTTGTACCTCTTATGGCTATGACATGTAATGAAATCTGTCTATGACTTCCATGATGGTTTAACTGTTAAAGTTTTTTTTTTTCTTGCAAGATACTACGTTTCAGTTAAATATCATTATACATTTTTTTGTGATATAACTTAAATAAATTTTAGGTTTTCTCATTCTAGAATTCTCTATATAACTGAATAAACATTACAGTCAAAATGTTCTATAACACAGAGGGTTGAGCACATCATATTAAAAAAATTTGAGCCTCACCATGTTGTTACAGTCCATGTTGCTATGTCCAATCACACTATATATGATTATCATGTATCTTGAAAATAGTATTGCAATGTAACTTCCATTACAAAAGACTCCTTTATAAGGCTGTCATGTCTAAAGCAAATCACTCTGTTCTGCTTGCTTTTATGATCAACCTTGTGTATGAAAACTATGGTTTTCTAGCACGTGGTTCAACTTCCTGAGCACATGGAAATCCACAGGTACTATATCATGTGACTTGAGTGATATGTCTTTATGGAATAGCATAAAGATCCAATCCATTCTCCAGCTGCTTGAGGTATGTAAGTTGAAGTTGAGGTAAGACTGGAAGCCTTATCTTCGTAAACCCATAACCTATTGGGCACATTTCTAGATGGAAATCTTTCTTCACTATACTGTTGCCTAGGCACATGGATGGCTTTTGCAACTCACCTTTGCATTTGTGGATTCTCATATGTGACAAGACATCACACTATACTTACTATTGTTGAGGCATGAATTGTTGTAGGTCTCTCTCAGGATGATCCTGATGTCCCAAGTTGATCCTTATTCCTTTATTTTCCAATACCATTAACACATGTGATTTCCCTATCTTGGAAAGTCTAAATCCCTGACCTGAATACATTTTTATGATCTAAATGTAAGAATATTTTACATTAGAAAGGGCTGCTATACACCCTTCTCAAAAGCAATCAGTATTTGGTGACTTCACACTACCTACAAAACTCCAAATGCCATCAAAATCGAGTTCTGATACATTCTGTTCCATCATGGCTGTATGTAATTTACTTGCTGATTTGTACCTCAAAATCATTTTAATTTAATATACTCAACCCTGTAATCATAAACAATTACAAAAAGTATCCCATAATATTTGCAGTAATTAAGCTTAAACACTTGGAATATACAAATACTGTGTTAATTAGTTTCATTACTTGATAAATTTAAAAAACAGAATAAACTCCTGCTACACAAGCTTTCTTACATCAGCAAAGTTAATTCTGCTTTTCCTCCTTTTAACGTCTTTTCTGTATTGCAAACTGTCTGTCTAAGCATTCATATGTTCCCATTTGAAAAGCTATGCATGCTTTGGCATGCTCAACATTCACAAAACAGGCATGAATAATGTTGATGCCAAATTTTATTTCCCAAGCAGGATATTTTACACTAAACTGTTAGGAATTAATCCCACTATCATTCACATTTCAAAATGTGACATAACTTAAAGAATAAAAATGTAGATTTACCATATATTATTTTTGAACAGCTCTTAGCATGACTGAAATGCTCAACAATTACTTTTTGCAGTGGATGGTATAAGTAGATCAGAGCTTTGGCTCTGAGTGAAACCAAGACAGCAACAAAATTAACCGTTTTAAAGTCCATGAAATTATTTCAAGTCATAGATTAGCTTTAAACATTTCCCATCACTGGGAACAAGTACTTTTGCTAGATTAATTTAAGATTTTCCCGTCACCGGAGGTGGGTACTAACGCTTGTTAAAATATATTTTAAATTGAGTATATTTCTTCTTACAGATACATTTTTCCAAAATTCCTCACTAAATTTTACTAAGCCAATGATACCATTCATGTAAACACATCAGTTTCTTACACCAAGTTTGACCTTCTACATTTCCCAGTCAACAATTATAACCTTATGCACACAAAATTAGTCCTTGTTATCAAGTCTAAAATCTCCATTATTAATTAATGATCAAAACATACTATTTTTATACAAAAATTTCTCTAGTCTTGGTTTACATCCCTATTGTCTATAAGTCATAATAATAGTATCATTTACATCCTGAACAGACTTTTAAAATTTAACTTCTGCAATGTCTATAAAACACTAACAATATCATCCATGTGCAGAATGACCTCTCTTATCTATTATTAATGGCAAAAATATCTCCCAATTACTCTTATTGCTAAGTTTGGTTTAAGCATAATGAACAATATAATTAAAATTCCACACTATTTCTCTCACCTAACTTGACTTCTGCATTGTCTGTCAATAAGACATTTTGTCCTTTGATATCTCTATGAATAATTTTGCATCCATGAAGATGACTGAGACCCTGTGGAAAAAATAATTAGTTTTGGTTTTCTTATCTCCAAGGACTGTAATTTCAAAATTGTATTTATTTTTTTATGTTTTAAAATTACCTTATTGTACTTTTCTCTCATCTTTTGTTTTCATCAGACAATATTTTTCACGTTTAATTTAAACCAACTGTTTTAAGTGAAAAAGAAAAGCTTTATCCTTTGAAATATAAAGAGGCATCATTGGTTCATTATTATTATTATAATATATTATTATTATTTTGGGAGCTACTGGATATGACTCCATTTCTTACATTTTTTCAGTTTTTTAGGTGTTCAACTTTCTTTAAACAAAACTCCCAAAATCAATTTTTATGCACATAGTATTACTAAAAAGAACTTTAATATTCATAATAGATAACCACCCAACTGTTATAATGAATGCATAAAGGACTAGATATAAATAGTAATATTTTTGGCAGTGAAATTGCATAATTACTCATTTACAGAATTCACACGTTTATAATGAGGTACACTATTTTTGTAACTAAATAATTAAATGCATGCTTAACAGGTTATTGAAGGTCTTCTTTACAATATGACTAAATTTATGAGATGTCAAAAAGTAAAATGACTATTAATAAATTGTTATGATTATGCTACTCATACAATCAAAATACAAAAATCATACTTTTTAAGAGAATGAAAATCAGAGAAATACTTCATAAGTTTGTTAAAATTTAATTTGAAATTTAAAAGCAAAATTCATGTTACAAATTCTAAAGGATTATAAATTTCATATGAAAAAAAGAAATAAAAATTCCTAATGCAACAGAAATGAAAAGTGCTATGTCAATTCATTTAACAGTTTATCTACAAGGCTGTGAAATGCTTTAACAAAAACATTTAATCTTTTAAGGATTTTATCACTTTCTTTTATAAGAGTTGGCCAACGGCATTGCCAGGTACAAAATTTTAGGTGGGCATAGAGTTACAATGGGTGGGCAGGAGGTGTTAGGACACAAGCACAAACAGGGGAACCATCATACATACTGTGACTGGGTGGGCCTAGATGCTGAATGTGCAGGCTGTGACCCACACAGTCCCACCCATGGCTAAACCCTAAAAATGGGTATTTTAGATGCACAATTACAAATATCTTTATAGGGTTTTTTGAGCAATCCAGCTAAAATAGTTAAACATAAGAAAACAGGAGTGGTGAACACAAACAACTTATGGATTCATATTTGTTACACAAGGGAGGCACTACTGATGTGCAATGATCATGTGTGTAATAATTTAATAAATAAAAAAATAAAATGTCAATATTGTAACAAACCAGGTTTTAAGTTAGCTGACACTAAAACACACACACACAGAAGGCACATGCTTTGAATTCTCATCTTCACATCTATATTTGACAATGTAACTTATTTATAAGAAATTTTATTTGTAAATAAACAGACAACTGGGTAACATCCTTTATTTATGTTCTCTTTTGTAAAAAACAGTGTGCTATTTCTGGAACTTTTTGACTAAAATTTCAGTATAACTCATTAATTTGCTTGTGGACTATACAAATTACAACTTGAGCAACTATTATTTTGCATGGCCTAGCTATGGCATTAAAAAACTATGTTATATATCAGTGTCACAGTATGCACATGTGTATGTGTGTATAGACACGCACATATTATAACACTTCTTTCCTGTCAAACTTGATGTATAAAGGCTAGAATTAATATTTTGATTATAAAGTCTACAAAACTTGGAACCTATTTGATTATTATAAAACATGTAACACAGATTTCTAAATATTTTTCTCGGTGAATACATCTACATATTATAGTATGTACTACAATGTTATCTGTCTTGTTGATCAACCCCATTTTGCTAGTTTGCTATAATATGTAGTTTGTTATAATACATCTATGTATTATAACACACTAGCAAAATGGGGTTGATCAACAACACAGATAACATTGTAGTACATACTACCAAATATATGTCTAACTTTTTAACTGTTCAGTTAGAGTATAATAGTGAAACCACCAAAAACCCAACAAAATTTATCCTTAGGTCATCTTGCGGAACTTTTTCAAAACAAGGCCCTAACAAAGTTTATCTTATTCTCACAGACGTTTTTCACCAGTAAATCAAATTACCTGTATTGGTTGCAAAAATTTTGAGAATCAACAACAACTCATAGTGTTTATGCGTAATAGATTTAAACCATATTAATGGCTAAAAATTGATTTTCAGTACATTTACAATGCATGGTTTTCACCCACATTACACAAGAGTAAAAAAGGTAACGAACCCTGAGGACTTCTCTGCAAACATATGAAATCCATTCCTCATTCAGTGACTGTCCTTTAGTGGCTGTAGAAATAAATAATTTCTTTATAATCTGGCCAAGAATAAATATCAAGTAAAACAGATTCTTTTGATCTTGACGTTTTTATTTTCCACATACTTTAATAAAATTTTTAGCTCCAGGTTATGTAACCCTAAATAAATAAAATCAAATTCATTCTTGTGTGTGAGTTGTTCAAATGCAAGTTTACCAAAATGATCTCAACACTTACAAATATATGAACTCCATATTAAATACAACTTAAACATAATGAACAATTTTTTTTGTAATAACTAAATAAATTGTAGTAGCTCTCATTACGAATCAATTTTCTGTCCCACACGAGTTGACAAATTTGTCTTTCTTCTGATTTGGAAAAAAGGACCAGCAAAAACACTTTGATATAACACGGGAGTTAAGGAGTGAAAAGATCTTCCACAGCACTTCCCAGGATAATATACAAACTACACACTTCAGGGAATATTCTGTTTAACAGCAATTACTGATGAGTTGAAATCCAAGATGTTTACAATTGATTTTTTTCAATACACTGGTATAGTGTACCGTGTGTCATTCATGCCCAGACAGATTATTTTCTTTTCCATCATAAGATTAGAAGAAGTTAAAAGCATTCAGTAAATAAATAAAGAGAGTAATAATGTCCAGGAAACAAAACAGTGAAGTGACCTGATAGTAAATAATCATGTTAAAACAACAAAAGAGGTGGTTATAATGAATGTACAGTGTTCAAGTAATAAAAGGAAAATGATAATGTGTGTAATAGTGTTTGGGTAATGAAGGAAGATGTCATATTAAGGGTAACAGTGTACAGGTAATAAAAGGGCAATCATGATAAGATAAAAAAAAAGTATCGGGGAAAAGATAAGATAGTAATAATGAGGATTATAGTATTTAGATAACAATAAAAAAATTTGTTTGTTTTCAGATTCACACAAAATTACTCAAGGTCTATTTACAACAGTCATTCCTAATTTTGAACTGATATATTACAGGGAAGGCAGCTATTCAACAGCATCCACCAAAAATACTAGAGTTACTCTTAAGACACCAAATAATGGGATTTGACCATCACACTTATAAAGCACTTATGGCGGCAAAGTGTACAACACTTTTTTTTTTCAGTAATGGGAAGCAAATGATGGATCCAAGAATCCACAGTCTGTCAGGCTAACCATTGGGCTACACTTGACCAACAATAAATGAAGTCAGAATCTGGGTAAAAGTATTCAGATAATGTAGGCAGTCATAATGAAGAAAAGAATCTTTAAGAAGTAGAATACCCACTTCAAATATGACCTTTCTATGTGGCATAGTATCTAAAATTATTTATGTCAAGATACCAGTTGATATTCATCAAATCTTGAAGACACCATGAGGATATATTTGAAAGTAAATTTAAAATACACAAGATGGCCAATAGGTGAAAAGGATAAACATGAAATAAATACCAAGTGCGTTTTCTTCTACTTTGATACTCTGTAGTTCATTAAAGTACCTTACTATGAAGTGCCATTTCCTTCCCGAGTTATAATTATGTTTTTTAAGTCTTACTACAGCCATTAACCGAAAGTTCTTTCTGTACTTCACAGACGTGCTTTTTTTTCTCACGATATATTGTTAACTTTATTAAGACCCTGAAAGTAATTACAAAGGCTAAAATTTCAATTATATCAAAAGCAGAAACTTTAACGCTGTTAAAAATTTGATTTTATCAAACAAAATTTTTTATTTTAGTTCAGAACATTTCTTCCAAAACTTGATCACAATTTCATATGACTTTAATATTGTGACTGTTTTGTAAATATGTTTTCTCTCAGTGCATAAAATGCAGTGAATTCTTAATGTAACTATTTTAAAATTTATTATAATTATGTGGAAGCTTCTTAAAATTGATTTGACAAAACTTCAAATATGCTTCAACATATCATCTTTTACTTGGAGTTCTTGAGCTTTCTATTTAAAAATAATACTTAAGAAAGATAACAAGAAATAGCAAGCACTGCATTTATACCATGAATGAGTTATTTTTATTTCCAAAATAACACACATAGTTATTTCAGTCATAACTTGCATCTATACTATACACTTTACAAATTGGTTCAAACTATGTTTAATACAAAAAAATAAATAAAAATAAGAATTTAACATGCATAGAACTACCACAGAAAATGTAAATATAATGTCAACAGTTCATAAAATTGATAAAAGGTGTAAGGCTAATTGTGATTATCAATTTCATGAATTTGTTCACTAAGTATACTTTAAAGTACACTATATGTCAAGGTCTCAGTAATTTCCAAACATACCTTATCAAGTAAAGAAATGACGACTTTTAATTTATCAACTTTTATCATTAGATTCCTTTCTGTCTGTATGACAGTTATCTCCATGAGACAAAGTGTGTGTGTATACATTCAACCTTCAAATTGATAACACAAATACTTGTAAACATTAAATATCTATTCATTACTACCCTTACTTCTATAAAAATCAAGTTCTTTACAATACTGAACACAAGTTTTTCAATATGCTGATAAGAAAAAAGATTTAATGTAAATTTAAAGCTATGTATGACTTTTATTCCACATTAAGTAAGGTATCTACACACACAGTGAAACTTACTAACTAAACCATGAACTATAAATATTTAAAAATTTTCCAAATTCTCAACTGGAACACTACTTTCATGCTTCTTAATAGCATAAGTATTCTCATACAATACCAAGTTGATTATGTTAGTACTCAATTAAAAATACATTGATAAAAATAAATAACAGTATCATTTAGGCAAAGAGTAATATTATAGTCAATTTTTAATATATAATACATAAGTGTATTATGATCCAAGTTTATTAATTTCCTAGAGTGGGAAAACATCTTGAGTGGTGTCCAAAGGAACTGTTGGATTTACCAATAACTTAATGAATAAAAAAGTTTACTGAATTATTGGATATTATAAGATGATGACAAAACCTTTTCGAAACGTTGTACATTTGCTGTTATGTAAACTTATATTAAAGTTTTTCTTCATTACCCATTCAAGCCGTCTCCAACCATTATTATGTATTATATATATCTATATTGCAAAATATGAATTTGAATACAGATAGAGCTGTAAAGAAAAGCACTACAATGTTTATAAGTTAACTTTGGTAAAACTGAATAAGTCTGTTTCTTTTCATAAGTCTTGGCTATTGCATTCTCTAGTTGAGATTCAATTTTAATGGTTAATGCCAAAAACGTGTAGTCTTTTGAGGCTGCAACATTTTTCATTTGTCAGGCAAATTCAAGGGATTTTTCACATGACAAGTCTCTTTTTAGTGTTTTCTCATCTAAAGAGGTACCAATGTTGCTATCATGCATGTCATCTCTTGCATACTGGCCTATTAGCTTTTTTTCCTGTTATTTGATTCATCTTCTGTTGGAACTGGGTGGTCAAGGTCTACAATATCATATGAATCAGCTAGTAAACCTCTGTGCTCATTGACAGATTGTTTTAGCAGTATGTCATCATTATTATCAAAAAAAGTTACTGCCTGGAACCCAGCTAGATTGAAGCATACACTGTTAGTGCTATCTTTCCATCTGGCATCAAACATTGAATTTTATGGCACAGTTTTGTTTCTGTCTTAGTCTGGTCAATCTTTGAAAGGAATTCATCATGAGTTTGTAGTAGCAGACAATTCCATGGTCTCATGGTTGTAGGACAGAAGATGTTAGGAAGTAATAATTTAGTGGCACATTGCTCAGTCAAAAGTTAACATTCTTCTAATCTGAAAATGTATTTTCAATAGATACCTCTTCACACAGAAATGCCATCTTCCTTGTGTCTGCCTATGATATTTACATACCACTAGTCTTGAGGTAACTCTCACCTAAGTTCACGTGTTTAACATGAATTACACTGGCCCATGATGCAACAAGAGCCCTCCACCAACAGGAAGACAACACAACCTCCATATGCAATAACTCCTCCTATGCACTTGTGATAACATTATTCTTTGACAAGACAAAAAACATGCACCGGAAGTAAGGATAAGAAGCAGGAATGTGTATGGAGGTGAATATCTATTGGAAAACATTTTCAGATTAGGAAAATGTTAACTTCTAATATATTAACTTGCCTCCTTACACAGAAATGCTAGAATTCCATGCTTAAATGGTGGAGGGGCTGGGTACAGAAATTTACTTAAATGCCCTTCAGAAAGCATCCAAAAGGAAGCCCACAGAGTGTGACACCCGATGTCAGGGATCCATAAGTGCACACCTGTGGGAGACCACATCTCATCTCAACCAGGGTATAATCTTCACCTGGAATGTAAAGGGGAGGGGGAAAATGAGCTGCAAGTGTTGCATGGACAGGTAGAATGAGAACATGACCATTCAGGCACTTGCACACAAGAAGTCAGTGAGCCAATATGTGTAGTGTGGCTGACTTATGGTTGTACTGTGTGTGCACACTCTGACTCTACTGGATAGGCTTTGGCTGCAGGAGGAGGAGGAGGAGGGCACATGGATTTTGTAGTATGTTTTTTTTGTTGTTGTTGTTTTTCAGGGAGGGGGTGTGTGACCCAAACTACACTGACAGTGTCACCACTGCCTCAGTTCTCATTTTTTGCTAAGCTTAACTGGTTAGGATTCACCATGGTCACCCATCCCAGTAGTTAGGAACTGATAAATGGCGAGGGTCTCCCATGCTCTTCTTAAAGAAAAGGAGGAAGAATTCATGTTAGTAGAGACCTGAAGAAATGCCCAGATCCTCACTGGACCACCAGCCAGAAAAAGTATTTTACTGGAGACAGTTCAAAACTCTATTTTTAAGGGCCAGCAAGTGTGAGCCAAAAAAAGTGGGCAGAATGCTTCCCTGGTGCTGTTTTTTTTTATGACAGTCCAGACAATTGTATGTATACCACAAGTATACCTCAAGTGGTCTTGCAGAACATCCCATCTTGCAGTGGGCACAGGTAGAGCCAGAGTTTATGGTGTGAGAATTTTCCATTATCCTGGAAACATAAATACCCATTTTAAAGACAGTGGGTAAACTGAAGTATGATGACTGGTGGAAGTCAAAATCCTGTAGGAGATAAAACAGTCAGATGGTGAAGAGACGGGCTGAAAAAAATTAGGACAATAATCCACACACCCACCTAGAGGATCTCATCCCAGAGTCAGTGAAGATTGGAAGCAAGAGACTGAGAAAGGTAACAAATCATATGCAAAGAAATGAGAAATAGGGTGCAAGCATCTACATCCAGAGACAAATATATCAACTGTAGGAGTCATTAGACACATCTGGTAATGGTAGAAGGAGAGGTCCCCAGAATAAGAGGGATTACAGAGTAAAAACAGACAATAGCAGGGACCTTGAAAAAGAGATGTCTGTGATAAGCAGCACCAACAGCCCGGACAGACATAGGAGCTGATCTAGGTATGAACGATCATAGAGGTGAGGGACAGAAGGAAGAAAGACAGGAAAGAAAGGATAGTTAACCTATCAAGCAGCAGAAGTTTGATAAAGGAAAGACCAGTCGAGGTAGAGGAGTATATAATTGTGGCAGAATAGAGTGCAAGAAGCATTAATAACATAGACAACCAAAGGATGGCAACAACATGCAAGGAGGAGGAAGAAATAAGACATGACAGAAAACACGGCACAAAATGCAGTGAATACCACCACCTGATAACTAGTAATGGCAAAAACTGACAGACCATGGTCAAATAGCTAATACAAAAAGGCAGAATGATAGAGCACAATAGGACAGCTGGGATGAAAGGAGTGAAGGATGGATCACTGACAAAAGAATGCCACTGTCATTGATAGAAAGACAAAATGGAAGGACAACAGGAATGTGACAAGAAGGTTACACAATAGGAGAGTTCAGTGTGACAGATGATGGACCTGACAATTCCCACACATAAAGATGGAGAGACGACATCCCTTGATGAAAAAGAGGACATGTGAGGTTTAATTAAGAAAGAAGAGACATTGAGTACACGAAAAGGTGGGCTGGATGCCAAGCAAAGAAGCAGAGAAAACCAAGGTTGAGGTAACCAAAGAGGCACCACAGTAGGATTCAAGGAGTGTCACATATCAAGTTGAGGGAGGAGTGGAAGAGGAGGATAAGCATATAGAAAAAAGGTGAGACCAGTCCTGGCTGAGAGCTTCAACAGCTAGAGCTGGGGACCAGAAGAGAGGAATACTGGAGTCAAGAAGGATGGTAATAGTTTCTAAGAGGGTTGTGTTCAACCAAGAAATGTGTATATTTCTCATTAAAGTTAAATCATACTTTGTAATCATGACTGGCAAAAGGCGATTTTGTTGGATTTCTGTTAACAAATGGAGAAATTTCACCCATGCAGCACATAACAATTTAGCATCACATTGCTCAGTCAAAAATCTTGGGTGTATTAAGTTATGTTGTCTATCAACGTAATGTCACACAGCTCACCAAGATCTTGGGTGTGTTGGACTTTGTATTCAATGAAAGTAATAAAGATCTACACGTCAACTTTCAGTTTACTTTCAAAGTGTTTGATAAATAGCAGGATCTCCAGCAATCTAAGCAGTCATTGGATGCTTTGAAGTCAAAAAGTAATGCATGAAAATGTTTATTCCTGGATGATGGGTCATGATATTGGCATGTGAACCATTTCCACACAATGTTAGTGTTATTAAAAAATGTGTATGTGTTGATGAATCTGCTTTGAGAGGTTTAGCATAACAGTTTGTACTGTGTTAAGGGTCTTTCTTACCAATGATAGTTGATGGTTGATTTCTAACTTTGTATTTTTCTGCCAAGTCACAATGCAATATTTTAATTCGATTTTCATGCTTTTTTTTTATTAATTTCATTTTGCCATCATGTGATAATGATAATTCCATATCTTGTCATTTTATGGGATGTTCCATGACTGATATAAAATGCATTAGATCTACTGTTATTTATATGAATAAACTGATACATTATTAGTGTTTAACTATCTGATTTGATCAGGTTTTAACTGGACTAGGGTGGAATGTTTTTATATTTATAATTGGCACAATGACTGATCAAAGACCTATTTGGTATTTTTAACAAGAAAATAACTAAGGATACTAAGAAAAAACAGGCAGTGTCTGATCTAACGGAAGCGACTGATAATAATGAGGTAAATGAAAAATATAGGACTTTCGTTGTGACTTTTCAGACAACCAAATAAGAGAGGTTGTTGGTACTCTTAAGTTGCTAATTTAAAGAAGTTTCATCATACAACAAATTTTTTAAAGACTTTTAAAGTTACTTTTGATATGTTGTAAGATTTACTTATCACCCACTCATCCATTTTACTGTTTCTATTGGTTCCAAAGCTAAAATGGAGGTTCCCCAATTCTAGTTTTATTGTTTGCTTTTTAATGATCTCAGTGAAAGTTATAATGGTGTCAAATTTCTGTTTTAAGGTATTCCATTTCCTCTAACACAATTATGACTAACAATTTATGATCGTGTCAAATTTATGTTTTAAGGTATTCCATTTCTCTGACACAATTATGACTAACAATTTATGATCGTGTCAAATTTCTGTTTTAAGGTATTCCATTTCTCTGACACAATTATGACTAACAATTTATGATCGTGTCAAATTTCTGTTTTAAGGTATTCCATTTCTCTGACACAATTATGACTAACAATTTGAACTTACTTACATTTCACTAGATCTGTAACAGAACCTGCACCACAGTATTCCATGACAAGCTGAAAAGTCAAACAGAAAGACAAATATTAAAGTTTAGTACTTGATCACCTAACTTTGGACATGCAAAATACTGTCAACAAGGCAAATGTATGTTATTGTTGAACTAAGTGTACAAAATCTCAATATTTTGATTTGCACTCAATAGAGATAACTAACAAACAAGTTATGTATTTAGGTAACAAGCCAACAATATAAAAATTTCAGGATTACATATGGCTTAAACTCATTGTGGTGTGTTAAAACCATCAAACAAAATACTGAAATTACATGTTCAACTTCATTTACTATATGACATGGAAAAATGCATATTGTGTTCACTTCTTTCTTCATATTAAATTACAAATCCCAGTTTTAAACCTATTTACAATTTGATGTTGCAGTATCAAAGGAAAAAAGCTTGATTTCATCCTATTGTACTTCAAGATCTTTTTCCATTTAACTATCTAGTAAATAAAACTAATCACTTAACTTCTGAAAATGCTTTAAAAACATACTTAATCATAATGCAAATATTACATTCTAACAGTCTTATGAAATGTTTACGACATTTTGATGATTTTGTAAAATGTGCTTTTTTCTTGACATTGTGAGTTACTATTTAGGCATAAATAGCAGGGAACTTTCAAGTGGTTCAGGACATCTGTCACATACTGATACGAATATTGAATTATATTTCAGAAGATCATAGAGATCTGCTTACCCAAAGTTTGGCATCTTTGTCAGGCATACTTTTGTGAATGAAAGCGCCATAATACGTTGCTATATTTCTGTGATGCGAATACTAGAACAGAGGCAGAAGGAATAAAAGCAAGTTATTCACTTTATTGTGTCTATACAAGAAAACTTCATAATCAGTAAACATAGCATTACAAGTAGGTAAACATCATAGCAGACAAAATTCAAACTACATAATTAGTATTAATTTTGATCAGAATAAGCTATCTACTTAAAATGTAACTAAACTAAACTGATAATGAGTACAGCTAACTAAATATATTTTTCTTATGTTATTACTTACACAGATTAGAATGCATTGCTACATTAGTTGGGAACCCTAGATCCTTGCAATATTTTCAGCCATAAACAAAATAATATCTCGAAAAATTTGTCTAACTTAAGAGGCTTGGGTTAATCTTAAATCGATATATTATGCTAAAAATGCAAAAGCTCAATAATAAACATACAAAATTAATAATAAAAAGTAAAAGTGGTAAAATTAGATATCTTAAAACATTCTAATCAATAACAATAATGAAAGGAACAATAAAGAAATAACAGAGTATATCTTACTTACATAACACACAAACACCAGTATTTAGCTTCAAATATTACAAAACAGAAAAACAATTAAATAAGAAAATAGTGGATAAGTTGCATTAACATCATCAGTTGGATGCCTTTGCAAATGCTTTCAACCATAAACCTGGTAACTCTTTAAAATGTTCAATCTACTTAATAGATGTTAAAAATCAAAAGCAGTTTAAGAAGCTACTGTATATATTCATATAAAATAGTTCCTGTACTGTGAGCCCTGATGAAGCCGCAATGGTGAAATAATAACTGAAATAAAAAGTTTTTTTATTAATATCTGGAGAGTAGAAGTAAATTTTTTACTTTTATTTTCCAAAATGTCTGATAGATGTAAATTATACCTAAATAATTATACTAAATGCCAATGGAAAATTAATTAAATGTACAAGTCTCGACAAATAATGAATGTAATATAATATGAAGTCTAAATGAACATAGAGACTGAATGTATTTGCCACTGAAAATTATAAAAGCTTATATTTTTATGTTTATAAGCAATTATAGATTACAACATCTTATGAGGTTTTGTCTGCTTGGAAGTAAAAATTTGCTTTAAGTATTTTTTTCTGCATCCCCAATGTTTTACTATAAGGAATGGATGAGAAACATTACATTCTACGACATTTTTTTGGCTTTTTTTTTAAAAAAAAACAATCATGATGATGATGCAGTAGTTTTGGCAAACTTGAATGCTGGATTTTTCTAGGTGAATAATTTTATGAATGAATAAATGAAGTTACCAAAATCTATTCTTTGAATGTTTTTTTTTTAATAAATATCTACAATCTTTCACCAAAGAATCAAATTTCAGTAAACATACTTAATATAAGCATGATTTTAGTTAAAGCTAATCATCTCATGTTATTATTTGAGGAACTGATAGTAAATCTTTCTCAAACTTCTCTTAGGAGTACATTTTTAAAATACTGTATACACAAACAGTAAATGTTAAAATAAAATAAGATCACTGGGAAGTGTTATATAATGGTGTTGATGTTTTCTGGGCCTCTCTTTTTAAAAGAATAACAGGTTATCTATGAATATACATTACTTTAAATGGAGTTGTAGAAAACACTTCTTGTTCAATGTGAAACAATGGCAATACATCAGTCAATACTGCTTTGTGCTAGAAAGGAAGAGGCAGTGGTGTATAGTAGTGTACTTCTTCTAGGAGTACCCACTACTCTAAAGGCAGCTACATGTCACATGGTATGGTTAAGAGGCTTTCAGAATTAATAACATTGGTTAATGAAGTCAACACCACTAAATCTACATTTCTCATCAAGTCAGGGATGATCCATTACCAATTGGTGCATAAATCACAACACAGTAAAGCCTTGAACATCAATCATGCTTCCATCTATAGAGATGATATTCTATTATCATAGGTTTTTGGATACAGTCTTAAAAATTTATCTGCCAGAGCTCACTTGAACAAATAAATAAATGTTCAACTACAAACAAAGCAAACTATCTAGATTTAGATGTCACCATCATTAATCACACATTTAACTTTTAAAGTTCCAATAAAATATACACTTTCAATTTTGAAGTTACATTCTAAACAAGTTATATCGCAATGGTTACTACTTGCAGCTTACTAGATATGGTAAAATTTATTTATCATTACAAGATTTTTTGTGGATAGAACTTGTAAACTCACTTGCCTTTTTCATACTTGGACTTTCTCATTTTGAAAATTAAACATATTAGAAGGCTGAATGCTAGTGTTGTTATACTCTATAAGTAGGATATATTCTTTATTTCTCATTACTTTCCTTAATAATATTGGTTGAATTGTTTAACATAGTTAATTTTTTTTGTATTATACTTTCATTATAAATATTGTATATGTATTGATGACTAACCTAAATCTCCTTAGCTGGCTGAACCCCATTTATTTTATTGGGATTATGGCCGAAAATATTGCTAATAGCAATGATACTCAACTAATAAAAAATGCATTCTAATCTTTATAAAAAAAAAAATAAGTAAGAAAAGTATATTTAATTATCTGGTGGCAAGTTGATTTTTAAGTTTAACTCTAAGTACAAAGCTTACTCTGATCACAAGTTATTACTATTTACTGTTTTAACATTTCTAACTATACACTATATCTTCTTTGTCAAATGAGCTGAAATTCAAATTATTAATGCCATCATGAACATATGCTTATCATTAAACAAATCAAGGTATCCATTTAAAAACTCCTAGTAACTACTTTCAATCTTAATTACACGTTTAATCCTGCATTTCAAATGTCAGAACATTAAAAATTGGTCAATTTCAAAATCAAGTCACACTTTCAAGTAACATTTTAGTGTTGTATTTTCTTTATCTTTTTCTATTATTCTAAAAGGCTTGATGCCAGAAGACAATTATTAAAATAATAATTTAATGAGCTATCTATAGAATTGGTATCTCACAAAAAGAGAAAGAAAATAGAGGGAAAAAACCTTCTGGCTTTACATTAGTATTTAATAAGTTTACTTTCATAAAACTAGAAACAAACTTTATAAAAGTAAATTTCAAGAATGAATTTCACATGTGCTTATATGATTATTCTGAAAAAGCAGCAACACTGAGTAATAAATACATGTTACTAAAGGTACCAATAAGTTCTCTTACCTTTTTCAAAACATTGATCTCTAGCTTGATTTCTTCTTCCTCATCCTACAAAATAAAAAGTTTTTCATCTGAAAACTAAGACTCAATTATATTATTTGATAACTAAAGTTATTTACACGAAACATTTTAATTTTATTTTTCACTGACCACAAACTTGACAAGGCATAAAATAATGTTAAAGGCACTAAAATCTTTAATGCACTGAAAAAAAAAACTGACTTTCAACCTGCAAAATGAATTTCCCATGAACTGCTAAACTGTTGAATACATTGAACAGAAACTGCCTTTCAAATTGAAATGTGACATTCATATCAACTGCTACTTTAAATATACTGAAAAGAAAATGACTTTCAACCTATAAAATGAAATTTGCCAAACTGTTATAACTTCAAAGTGAAGTTCCAAGTAGCTAACAAACTGTTGAATATGATGAATAGAATTTTAACAATTTGCTTAAATTACACATTACAGCAAGCAATAAATTAGAGAGCAGTTTTCAGTAAAATATAAAAATTGAATATTGGACAAATGTATTTTTCTACCTATTACACTAGTAACCTCCATAACTAAAAAAATGATACTACAAAAACCAGCTTAACCATTCTCTTTAACATTATTTTATGATCTAATTGATAAATTTTCACTCTATGCTCATATATATATATATAT